CGCCCCGCGCCCGCGGCCCAGCCGCACCCCCTCCCGCCGGCGCCGTGTTCCTGCGAGGCACAAAAGCACGGAGCCGCCTCCGGGAGGTTGGCAGTCGTCAGGAGAGCGGGAGGGAAAGTTCTGCCAGGTTCCTGGTTTCCACCCTTGTTTTCCCGAATGCGCCCGCCCGGGTGGGCGGACGCGTCGTGCTCGGGGCCGCTGGTGTTGGAGGACTGTGCAAGGACAGCTAAGTGGACGGACACCCCGCGGGGACTCCCCGAGAGCCCTAACCCGCCGGACCCGTCTTCCGGACCCTAGCAGAGGCCCGGGGACTCGGCTTCCCCAGCCCGCACGCAGCCTTGGACCCGGCGCTGTGTGTTTAAAAGAATGTATGGAAACAAACAAAATCTCTAAAAGACGTTCTTGACCAAAGCTTTTACTTTTTACGCAGTCCGAAATGATGTCACCTTTGCCCCATCTAAGAGAATAATACTTCATCTATAAATAAACTTCCTCCTCCAGTTTACCAGTTTAAGGGTTAAGAGGCCAGCCTACCCCACATTATTTTTTGAACCCTACAGAAAACCATTTACATTGAGCGTGCTTTTTTGAGTGGGGGAGACTTCACTGGGCACCTGGCCACCTCAGTGTACGTGACACGATGGTCCTAGCTCTTTAGAATTGCTGTATTTTCTGTGGTTCTGTGTTTCTAAAAAAGGAAAGAAAGGAAAGAAGGAAGGAAGGAAGGAAAAGGTGTTTATATCAAGAGGTCAAGGAGTCTTACCAAATTTAACTGCTGGAGTGGTACCTTGAGAAAATTAACTTTCCCTTCTCAAGCTCGTCGTTCTTGCTGGTACACTGAAAAGTAACCGGGGATGACTGTTGCTGGAGACCCGGAAATTCCACGGTCAGTTTGCTGCACAGCTGTTGACTTAGATGTTTGGTCGAAAGAATGCAGAAGTGTCCTATCCTAGGCCCTTCCAGAAATGACTTACTGCAGCACAGGTGTGACTTACCTGTCCGCGGGCTCCCTGCCATCTGCACAGATGGGGGTGTTTCAGGCGCCGTTCCTGAGGCCCCAGTGCCCTGGCGGAAGGGCTGAAACAGCTGGCTGTCCTGAAATAGGGGCTGTGCCACTGGTAGATCTCCCAGATCCACAGTAATTTGGCCAAAAGTAAATGAATCATTTCTTCCCCGAGTTGAAAATTTCTATTCATTAGATACGTGCAGTTGCCCTACAAGGGAGGGTGAACATCTTACATAAGTAGGAACGCCTGTTATAATATTTAATGCTTATATAATAGTCCATTCAGCCAAATGAAGCTTCCTTTTGAGTCCCACACCTGTCTGGGCCTGCCCAGTTGTGTTCCTCAGTTTGTCAGAACTGGAAGGGAAGGGGAGGGAAGGGATGGGACAGTTCCATCCATGGGCGTGGCCAAGAAGTGGCAGGAGCAGGGGTCCTTGGGCTGCAGGAGGAACACCTATACTGTGGACGCTTGTGCACTCTTTCAGACAGGCTCTGCATTTGTACCCAAGGTCCTAGCTAGACTTAGTCGGCTGTGACTCATACACAAGGCTGTCCTTTCTGACTCATGAACACAGTACACAGTAAGTTCACTTCATACCATTCTCCTGAAAACCCACTTTGGAACACTTGTTCATCTTGGGAAAACTGAGAACATTAACAGGTAATAGTGGACTCTTTCCTTAGTCGGCTTAAAGTGGTTTGTTTTTTTTTTAAATCCGTGCGCGTTTTCACAATTTGGTGTTTAGGAGGGTACAGAAGTCGCCTGTGGCTTTAAGTGATAGCAGTACACACTGTCTCCTTTGTAAAATCTGGCTTTTCCCATCTTCCGCAGAGGAAGATCCACTTCCGTGGACATGACCAGGTTGGGCTGTGGGTGGACAGAAACTTGTCTGTAGTTCTGCTATGTGCTCTGTTCCCAGAAATTGTGATTCCTAAGATATGTGAGTTAAGTATGCAGAAATGTCTGAGTAAATCTGAATTGGCCATTGCCTCAGAAAGTGTGTGAGGTCGGTTCCTCTTCCTTGCTTGAGTATTCCTTGTGAGTAGATGGCAGATACTATGCATGGGAAGAGGCGTAAACTTAGAAGTCTTGCAGATCACTGACCACAGGCAGGTAGGTTCCCTAGGGTGGAGGCTGGAGTGTATTTTGAAAGTCCGGAATCCATTTCAAAAATGACCGTTGGGGTGATAAGCTAGTTCATTTCCACTGATGAGTTTATCAGATTGCTAGAGGTCCCCTGGCTGAACAAAAGAATCCGACAGAACCAAACTGGGAAGGAGTTGGATGAAGCACAGATGTTTTGTTGATGACAGGGAGATTAGGAAAAGCTCTGTAGCTCAGGATGTCACCCTGGGGCAAGGGCGAGGGGACCACCTTCGGAGGAAGTATTCAGCCAGTCCCCGGCCCCTTCTCGTTAGAGAGAGGCTGAATGGGACAGCAGGTAGGGGTGGAGAATGTGGGGTGCAGACATGTGCAGAAGGAAGCACCTCGTCGTGGTCGTTGTCCGTAGTTTAGCTGGGACTTACAGCTTCATCAGTGGTGTAAACCTTGCCAGAGTCAGCCAGGATCCAGTCTGATGGGGGAGGCTGGTCTGTAGAGAGTGAATGCAGAACACTCGCTCTAGGCCATGGCTCCGTATTACCACACTCCCGTGCTCTGCAAAGGGAGCCAGAAACTCATACTTGTGCACGATCTGCCAGTGTGTGAAAGTCTTCCGATGTTACTGAAAGGCTGAATTCATCTGTAACTGGTCGGCTGCTTGTAACCGGTATTGTAAATCCGTGCAGCACCCATGGACCACGGAGCTCCTCCCCTTCGCTCGCCAGCGTGCCCGTCCCAGCCCATCCCCAGCCACAGCAGTGGCACCTACTGATACATCCACACCGGTCCCCAGGCCTCCCTAAAAAGGGGGGGAGTTGTCTGGTATTTTCCATGAGCGGAATCTCAGAGGCTAGGAAAGCAGGGAAAATCTGCATCCAGCTGCTGGTACTCAGAGCTCTCCACAGCCTGTGAAGCCGGCTTCCTATCCCTAGGCGTGGATAGTGAACAGGAGTGCGCAGTATGACTTGGTGGAATATGACTTTGCCCCTGTACCCCGCCAGAGCAAGCCGTGCGCTCACATGAGACTAAACATAAGGAAGAACGTGAAGCATCTTGCATTTCCTGATGAGGTGAGGACTGGGGATCATAGGTGGTAGGAACTTGTGAAAGCTCCTTTATCAGCTTCAGCCTGTAGACATATTTTTTTTGGTACTGGGAACCGAACTCAGGACCTTGAGCTTACCAGGCAGGTGCTTGTGCCACTGAGCTATATCCCTGGCCCTGTACACATATTCTGAAACCTTTGTACAAGGGCAAGGTATTGTGCCCACTGTGCTGGCACAGGTTTAGTCCCTGATCTTCAGGAGGCTGAGGCAGGGGGGGTCACTTGGAGCTTAACAGTTCATGACCAGCTTGGGCAACACAATGAAACCTTATCTAAGAACCAAAAAAAGAAACCAAAACAAAAATGACAAAACTACAAATGGGGTGTACTTGGAATATGTAAGAACTATGCGTAGTCTTGACTTTGCAAGTTTGAGTGTTCTATTTTTTTATAAAGGTGCAGTAATTTGTGTTTTTATCATTATGTGATGAAAAGTTTAAAATTTGTGTATTTATTTATTGGTCGTGCTGGGGTTCGGACCCAGGGCCTTGCTTATGCTAGGCAAGTGCTCTACCACTCATCTACATCCTAAGCCTTGTAGGATGCTTTTTATTTTTATTTTTTTCCTTGCTTGGACTTGTTGTTTATAAAGCAAATAAGGGGTTAAAGGGTAAATGCCATAGGTATTAAAAATAAACATCTCAGCCTTGCAAGCACATTCCTTAATAGTGGTAAACAAATTGTGTTCTGAATTTCAAATTCAGAATTTATTTTGGCAGAGAAAGAGGTTTTTTGGGCATCTTAGTGGAGCATTTGTGTTTTTCTTTTTAACATATTTATGACAGCCACCCTTGAGAGAAACATGTGAAAAGCCTTCCCTAAAATGACATTACCAGTGACAAGCCATGGAGTGCGTACTGCACATCTGAGTGAACTTGGCTTTCCCTTCTGACACACTGCCGTGGGAACGATGTCATTGCCGTCGTTCAGAGTACTTTTGGAGTGGTTGTTCATGAACTACATAAGAAAATCTCTTTTCTTATTACTTCCTTTCTGACCTAAAATGCTAGCCTTATCGCCTGTCTTACTCACCAGACTTTGCACCAGCTCCTTTTA